GGTATGAGGCGGAGGGGAGAACTCCAAGGATTAGGAAAGGAAAGCTCTGAAGCTTTCCCACTGAAGCAGTGACCTAACTGTTCACATAAAATGGATATGGAATTAGAAAACCATATTTAACCATCAGCAAACATCAAATCAACTCAAGACATGTGCAAGTAAGTTTACTCAAAACATGTAACTGTGAAATACAGTCTATAACATAATGTCACCTTTCCTTCACAAAACACATCAAAACTATCACAGAGCTTGGGGCTTTCAGGATGGTTTCATAATCTTACCAACTTTCAGAGGGTTGAAAGGTGTTTCTTTTAACCGCTTTTCCAATTCCGCAAGGGAAGTATTGTTAATGATATCCTGCAAACCAGGACAGCAGAAAATTCATTATACATCTCCATGATCTCAGTAAAACATAAATTATCAGAGATTGTATTACAGATAGTTCACCAAGTGTCAGGACAAAAAGGTGCCTAGTACTGCCCGCCAGTGGTCTTTAGAGAAACATGGGAATCTTGGTTATTAAACGCCCAACAGAAGGGGAGCATAATATTAACTAGTACAGTCATGAGAAAAGGTTTTCACTGGTGTGTTAAATACCTACAGAACTTATGCCATACAGCAATACTGTTCTGATATTAGCTTCGCTCAGTTATATAGACACCCCACAAAGCAGAAAACATTGGCTACGTTTTCTTCTGATTAGAAAAATACTCCACACTATGTGACTCACTGCCATTGAGTCGATTCTGACTCATAGCAGCCCTGTAAAGCAGAACAGAATGCCCATGTGAGTATCCCAAACTACAACTCTTGACAAAAGCAGAAAGCCTCATCTTTGTCCAATGGAGTGGCTAGTGGTTTCAAACTGCTGACCATGAAGTTAGCAGCCTAACGTGAAATCCGCTAAGTCACCAGGGTTTCCTAAAATATATATAAGGAAAACAAAATAAAGGAAGAATCATGCATGTGCATAACTTATTCAAAAACCAATTTTAATATAAGAAGCTCACATCCAGAAGAATACAGGGGAGAAAATCCTTATTAACACCACCCAAAGACAACCCCTACTCATTTTGTTCATATATTCATTTCTGGTCATTTTTCCATTTCTTCCTTTTGGATGTATTTGAAGTGACATTTAAACAGATCTGAAGTCAAAATCTTAGTAGTAATTCAGAAACACTTTAAATGGAACTTATTAGTGACAGTTCACATTTTAAAAATACCTTAAACGGCTGGGTACTGGCCATCAATTTAGTATCCAAGAGTCTAGAATCAAAAGAATTTTTTAATGAGAAAAGCAAAATACATGTTTCTGTATTACAGTTGACTCAAATGAAGTCTTATTTTCTTGCCCAACTAGTCCTCACAAAGGTCCCTAGAAATAGAGCTTTACTCTCTAGCAGTGGTTCTCATCCTGTGAGTAGCAACCCCTTTGGGGGTCAAATGACCCTTTCATTATGGGTCACCCGATTCATAACAGTAGCAAAATTACAGTTATGAAGTAGCAACAAAAACAATTTTATGGTTGGGGTCACTTTTAGACAGTAAAGGCTCTGACTTAGAAAAGTTTAAAAACAAAATCTTAAGAAAACCACCTTTGCCAAACTAAAAAACATATTCAGCTAAGCACTTGGATGGCTACAAGGTGCATCCCATATACAGAAAGGACAAGTGCCATTGTACTAGAGAATTTGGTCCCCATCAAATAGGGGGTAAGTGAGGAATTAAAAAAAAAGAAGTCACTGCCTACAACTTTCATTCGTTAAGATTTTTAATTTTCAAAAGTATCACAAAACTAATCAAATATTATAAAAGCAAGCCTTTACTATGTTGAAACTCTTACAGCATTTCCCAGAATTATGGATGATTCGATCCACGACCTAAATTTTTGCTAAATTCCTATATACTTTATCAGTGTTATATTACCCATGCCACAGTAACTATATGAATGCAAGGAAAACCCGCAGAGAGAACTGGGGTTTTCTTACCTGGGGAAGACACAAGTTGTCATCTCCTTAAAGTCATGTAAGTCCTAAAAACACAACAGCAAGACTTTTAACAACATCACGATTATACTCACTACGAAACCCACACCACAGATCTCTTCTCAAACTAGGGTACCTCACACAGGCCCTTGACGGTAACTGCAAAACCCATTTCTAATTGACGCTAATTTTAAACAATTTATTCACTGATCGGGACCCATCTGACTTGGTAACTTTTGGTAACCACCCCCAAACCAAATTTGGGTATTTTACGGCTGATATAGACAGGAAGAAGTTCAACTACAATGCTTCTTAGAAATAAGAGTGGTGACACTTCATCTCTGTACTCTGAACAAGTTATGAGGAGGGACTAGTTCATGGAGAAAGACATCATACTTAGTAAAGTTCAAGGTCAGCAAAAAGGCGACCCTCAATGAGATTAACTGACACAGTGAACGGCAACACTGGACTCAAACATAGCCAATGACTGCGAGAACGGCAGAAGACCAGGCAGTGTTTTGTGGAGCCATACACAATGTTGCTACAATTCAGAACTAACTCAATAATACCTAACACCACCACCACAAAAACCAACTGCCAACAAGTCAACATCAACTTGTAATGACCAGGTATGGAAAGACAGAGTAGAACTGCTTCCGGGGTTTCCAAGGCTGCCGGCTTTACAGAACCCCTTCTCCATGAAGTGGGTGGTGGGCGTGAACAGCTGACCTTTCCGTTAGCAGTCAAATGTGCCACCAGGGTTCCAAAGCAACAACACAGGAGGAAAAACAGGTTTCTACTCTACAGAGATGACGACCCATTTGAAAGGGTTCTGGTGTATAAAAAAAATTCCAGTAACAGAACACAGGTTGTGCTTTGTGCTCTATTACAAGAATTTATTGTTAACAGTGAGGCTCAAAACTAAAAAGCTCAATGCCATCAAGTCAATTCCAACTCAGAGCCATCCTACAGGGCAAAGTAGTACTGCCTTTGTGGATTTCTGAGCCTAAATTTTCATGGGAATAGAAAACCTAATTTTTCTCCCAAGGAATGATATGTGGTTTCAAACCACTGATCTTGCAATTAACAGTTCAGCATGTTACCTACTATGCCTAAAGAGCTCCACTGAGTACAATGGAAGGTCAGGGAAAGAAGAGGCGGACCTCAAGGATGTGGACTGACACAGTGTCTGCAACAGTAGGCGCCACACCAGCAAGAGTCCTCACCAGGAGAGCACAGCACTGACGAGTGTTCTGTTCTGTTCTACAGAGCTGCTCCATGTTGGAACCAACTCGGTGACATCTCACATCAATCACCACATGGACTTTTTAGAAGTCCCTGTTGCACAAGTACTTGAGCGCTTGGCTGTTAACTGAAAGGTGAATCAAACTCACCTGGAAGTGTTTCAAAAGCAAGTCCCAGTGATCCACTTTTGAAAGGGCACAGAAGTGTACTCCACAGAGTTTCACAAACGGCTGCTGTTCCTGAGGTGTCGGGTCAGTTCCGACTCGCAGTGGCCCAGTTTTCAACAGAGTGAAACACTGCTTAATCCTGCTCCATCTCACAATTTTTAATGTTTGAGCCCATTATTGTTTTTCAGTTTTACTGGCATATAATCCACATATCATACAATTCAATAATATCAAGAATTGTACAATCATTACCACAATCAATTTTAGAACAACCCCCACATTAAATCACCTTTAAAATGAGTTGTGTAATCACAATCAGTTCTAATGCTTCCTTCCCACTCCTGCATTCATTATTTTTCCTTCTGAAATCTCCCACCCCTACATCCCCTATAAATCCTTGCATCTATTATTATCTCTATGAATCCATTCCTGTGCTTCACAAACTAGAAAACCCAACAGAAAAAAAAACCCAAAAACAAAATAAAGTGGTAAGGATAAAATAATGATAATATAGAGATAAAAATGCTAATGATGAGTAAAGGAAAGATTACCACCAATAACTTAAAAGCCAGGGATGAAATTTTTATCATGGAACAAGCAAGAGATACTTGCACCTAGAACAAATTCAGGTTGGGTCAAGAGGAAGGTCAACTGACCAAGTATCCAGTTCAATCCAGCACAGTCAAGATTCCAATGATCTGTGTGCTATTACGGCTGTTTAAGACCCTTGCCTGTGGATAGAGGGGCTATGCCAGTGCCTTCATCTGACTAGATGCTCTAAAGATGGGGTTTGAGCTCCACACTCCTCCATAGCCTTCTACAAATTGGGCGTTCATAATTTTATCTCTGATACTTTTCCCTTCATCATAATTGTAACTTATGATTGTCATCTTTGGATCACACAAGCTTCTTCCATGTGGACTTAGTTGACTCCTCACTTAGATGGCTGTTTGTTTGAATACAAGCCTTTCAGATCCCCATACACTATTCTGATTGATAGCCGGGCACCATCTGCTTTCTTCACCACACTTTGCTGTAGCACCCTTATCTTCAGTGTTCCTTCCATGAAGGTGATTATTGAGCAGAGCCATGTTTCAGAACTAACTGTTCTTGGACTGGGGCTAGAGTTAAGGAGGAGGCGCTCAGAATCCGTCTGCTTTTCCATGGGATATATACGACTCAGGTTTAGGCATCCCACAGCAGGACTAAATGAGCAAACTACTGGCAAGGAAGGTTGTCCGTCACCTCAAAAATGTCCCACTATGCAGGCTGAAGTTGATCTGGTTTCCAAAATTTTCTGTATTTTTGGTGTGTACTGTTTCCTTCATTGTTTGTTTGTTCATAGTAAAGTGTATCTCAAGGTATTATGTCAATGGAGGTCGCCCTCTTGAAGCTGTGTTGTATGCTTTTCCATTTTTTGGTACATGAAACCCAGAATCGATGAACCTATAGGGACAGCAAGTAGAACAAGGGGTTTGGGGAGAGGGGAGTACAGTGGTGGTGGGGTAAAAGTTATATGATGTCAAGGAATCCACATAGAAACACAATGTTTGGAAATTGATTGTGGTAGCAACTGTACAATTCTACTTGGCATGACTGAAATACAAAATGATATATGCATTAAATCCCAACTAATTAAAACAACAAAAGGTTCCACTAAATGCCTACGATTCTCTCTGGGACATGCTACACCAAAAGAAACAACACCCAGGGGGGGAAAAAACCTCAGGAAAAAAACAACAACAAGCACCACGATTCTATACATAGGCCAACAAGAGTCACTTACGGCAGGCAGAGGGCAGTAGAATTGATGAATTGTGTGCATGACGTCCAACAGCATATTGTGCCCAATAACAAGTTTCCCCTAAAGAAAGTCATTATTAGGAAAACGACTTCAAGGTGAACCATTACCCTGGGGTTTGAGAAAAAAATGTATGCTTCACATTCCATAATATTCTGGACTCAACTTGCTTTTCCAAATTAAAAGAAAAAGCAAAGCACATTACATATATATAAACAAATTCAGGCTGGTTTTTGTTTCTCCTCCTTTTGGGCGTGTTACAACAGGATGCAAAAGTAAAATCTGAAAATAGTATTTTCTAGCTGCCACCCTCAAGATGTCCTGTTAAAAGACAAAATTTGAAAATGCTAAGTCAAGACACTTCAACAGTCTGATATTTGTACACAAACCCCAATTGTGTATTTTAGGGTGGTACTCTTTAAAAACAACTCACTAATAGTTAAGAAACAAAGCCAAATTAAGGAATAAAAAAATGGTTCGTGCTCTTCACAAGTCTCACAGCTATGAAAAGCCAGAAAGAGTGCTATCAGACACAGGAGAAACAGCAAGCAGATGCAAAATGTGATCTTAGATGGAATTGTGGGACAGAAGAAGGACCTGGTTTTGGGTGTGGGTGTGTGTGTGTGTGTGTGTGTGTGTGTGTGAATCTGTGTAATTCAAATAAAGCCTCTTTTTCAAAAATTGATTGTTGTGAACTGGATGATGATATACAGAACAAGTCATATACATTTGTCTCAACTCATTCAAATAAGGTCTTTTGCTTATTTCACAGTATTGTACCAATGGAACCGCTTGGTCCTGGTAACTGTACTAGTTACATCAAATGCTAACATTGCACTAGCTGAGATAAGACAGATGGAAACTAGTATTCTGTCAATTTTTCTGTAAATGTAATAAGGCTAGATGAGCCCCCGAAACTACTGCTCTGAGACAATCTGCAAACCTTAAACCAAAAATACCTTCTCAAGTCTTCTTTCAAGCAAATACACTTAGCTTAATGCGTTGAAGAAAACGTCTTCATTGAGAATTACACTTTTTAAAGAACTCTGTATATAGGATCAAAGTAACAACAACCAACTCAAAAGACGCGACAGGAACATTAGGGAACAGCAAGTTGTTAATGGGGTTCCAGGAACAACTCAGAGAAGAAGGGTGGGAGTAGTTCCACAACTCAAAGAACGTAATTAACAGTGCTGGGTTGTACATGGAGAAAACACTAACTTGGAAGATGTTCTGCTGTAATTTCTTTATTCTACTTCTTACTGGCTTTGATGAACATTAGTTTTATACAGACATACAAGGATATGACAGTACAGAAAACTGAGAGAGCTGGGACTCAATAGGACTTCCTTGTTTTCACTGGTTTTGCAAAGTGCAGTTTTACTGCTTTTCTATTGCTCTCTATTAGTGGGAAATGTTTGACTTTTCCTTCCCAATAGGTCTGGCTTTCACAGGTTTTATAATAATTTCTTATAAGCCTTTGTACTTTACAGAACAGGAGATCTGAAAAACAGATTGGACATAACTCAGCAAATCTGATGTGTCCTCAGCACATTGCAATGAGAGTCTGTCTCTGAGAGGTCTGGACTTGTTGCTCCAAATGAAGTCAACATTCTGAATGTAGCCCAGTGATGACTCTGTGATGATACTGAAGCATTGTCCTTTAATTATTAGGGTCAAGGATGTCACCAAGAAAAGAAAAGCTCTGCTCACTTACCGAATTAGCAATGGCATGAATGACTCTGGAAAATCCGACAGCATCATTCAGGCCCTCCTGAAAGAAATACATAAGTAAATATTATTTACATCCTTGACTGGCTAGATTGAAACTTAGCAAGGAAAAGAAATAAAAACATACAGTTAGAAACAACTGCATCAAAATGACCTACTTGAACACTTTCCTTCTGTTTAAAAAGTAGAATAAGCAAGTAGCAAATTATTCTATCAGGCACTTTAAAAATTCATTGACTGAAGTTCTCAAGTCAGGCTGTGTGTGGTTGCTCGGTGCTGTCTAGTAAATTCTGACTCCTAGCGACCCTATGTACAACAGAGCGAAACACTGCCCTGGTCCTGTGGCATCCTCACAGCTGTTCTTACATTCAAGGCCATTGTTGCAGCCACTGTGTCAATACATCTCCTTGTGGGTCTTCCTCTTTTTACTGTCCCTCTGCCTTACCAAGCATGATGTCCTTCTCCAGGGACTGGTCTCTCCTGACGACATGACAAAGCACATGGGATGAGGTCTCCCCATCCTTATCTCTAAGGAACATTCTGGCTGTACTTCTTGCAAGACAGATCTGTTTGTCCTTCTGGAAGCCCAAGATATTTTCCATGTTTTTTGCAACACCATTAGTCAACAGGCAGCCTAAATGTCTTTAAAACATAAACTTTTATGTATTTTTATCTCTGTATTATTATTTTATCCTTACCACTGTATTTTGGTTTTGTGTTTTATTGTTTATGTTGGGTCTCCCGTTTGTGAAGCACAGGAGGAGATGCATAGAGATAAGAACTGTTACAAGGGTCCACAGGGGAAGCAGGGAAGGGCGGGAAGTAGGAGGGTGAGGGGGTTGGGTGGGCAAACAATGTATATAGGAGGGGTTGAGAGCACTAGAATTGATGATTACACAACTCATTTTAAAAGTGATTTAACCATGGGGAGGGGGAGAAAATATTCTAAAATTGATTGTGGTGATGATTAACATGATTGAAGTATTTTATTGTGTGATATGTAGATTAAGGCTGATAAAACTATTTTAAAAACATAAACTTTAAAAAACCTGCCACCTGCTGGCCAAATTCAATACTTCATTAAATTCTGAGATTTGTCCAGCAGTTCACTGAGGAAATCAAGTACTCTCCCGATTCCAGACTTTTTCTGATAAAACGCATTTAAAAACATATTCCAAAAATAAAAACCCATATTTCACAGAACTCAGAATCATCCCCACTCATATTCCTCTCTCTTTTCCCAACAGTGTTGAAGGAGGTCCACTAGTCTCTTCTATGTCAACAGCCCTTTCTTAACTCAGCCCTTTAACCCAAAGCCCCCTTCCAAAACTGCCTTTTCTCTTGTCTCTGCAAGCAAAGGGCTAGCAAGGGTTCTCTTCTCTGACTAGACCCAGGTCAAGTACCAGCTGAGATGGTCAATTCATACAGCCCTTCAAGGCATAATTCATTATGTAACACAAGTCTGCATTCTACACTCCTTTGGCTTTGGGCCCACTTCGGGGGCATTTCCTACTGTACTAAGGAATAAGATTAAGGAAGGATTAAGACCTGACTTCACTGTTGTTACTGGGTGCTGTCAAGTTAGTTGCCCTCATAGCAACCCTATGAAACAAGAATGAAATACTGCCTTGTCTTGTAACATCCTGCAATTGTTCATATGTTTAAGCCCATGTTATAGGCACAGTGTCAGTCCATCATGTGGAGGGCCTTTCTCTTTCCACTGCCCCTCCACTTTATCAAGCATGATGTCTGTCTCCATGGACTAGTCTCCTATGACCCCGATACCATGTACAACATACATGAGACAAATTCTTCTCATCCTTGCCTCTAAGGATCATTAGGACTAAACTTCTTCAAAGATAGATCAGGCATGGGTGGGGGGGTCCCTGTTTGCAGTCCATGGCATTTTCAATATTCTTTGCCCACACCATAGTTGATCTACACCTTTGTAGATCAACTTTTCTTTGGCTTTCATTACTCAATGTCCAACTTTTACATGCATATGAAGTGATTGGAAACACCATTTCTTTGGGTCAGTCATACCTTCACCTTCAAAGAAATATCCTTGCTTTTCAACACTTCAAAGAAATCTTCTGCAGATTTATCCATTGCATCCTTTGATCTCTTGACTGCTCCTTCCCTGAGCAATGATTGTGACTCCAAGCAAGAAGACACCCTTGACAACTTCTTTCCTTCATTTACCACGATGTTACCTATTGGTCCACTTGCTCCCTATTCTGGTATGTTGTACCCCATACTGAGGCTGCAATTCTTGATATTCATCTGGAAGTGCTTCAGGTTCCCTTACATTGAACAAGCAAGGTTGTGTCATCTCTCTATTACATGGGTTGGTATAAGCCTCCTCCAATCCTGAAACCACATTCTTCATATAATCCAGCTTCTCTCATGATCTGCTCAATATTCAAATTCATTAAGTATGGTGAGAAGATACAACTCATACATGCACCTTTCTTGATTTCAACCCATGCAATATTCCATGTTTTGTTCATCAAATGCCTCTCAATTGGTGTTCAGGTTCCTCATGAGCACAATGAAGTGTTCTGGAATAGCCATGCTTTTCAAGGATATCCATTGTTTGTTATGATCCACACACTAGAATGCCTTGGCATAGTCAATAAGACATATGTAAACATCTTTCTGGTATTCACTGCTTTGAGCCAAGATCTATCTGACATCAGCAATGATAGTCCTTGTTCCATGTCCTCTTCTGAATCTCATCTTTTTATTGACCTCTGGCAGCTCCCTGTCAATGTACTGCTGGTGCTGTTGCTGTATGATTTCAGCAAAATGTTACTGGCATGTGCACAGTAAAGTGTGGTGAAGTAAGTAGATGTGGCTGGCTATCAATCAAAATAGTGTCTGTGGTTTCAAAGGCTTGTATTCAAACAAGCAGCCATCTAAAGGAGGAGTCAACTAAGTCCACAGGGAAGAAGCACACCAGTTTGTGTGATCCAAAGATGACAGCTACAAAATTCAAATATTGTGAAGGGAAAAGTAGCAGAGCTAAAATTATGAACACCCAATTTCATAACTGTGGGAGCTCAAACCCATCTGCAGAGGATTTGGTCAGACCGAGCCACTGGCACATCCGCTCCAGCCAGTCAAGTCTCGAGCAGCCGAGCCATCGGGCAGGGACCACTGTAATCCTGAATGTGCTGAATCACACTCAATATTTGGCCAAAATGCCTCCCTATAAGCCCTCCCTGAGTTGGTTCTGTGTGCAAGTATCTCTTACTTGTTCCATGACAGAAATTTCTTCCCTACCTTGTGGAATGTTAATGAGGGTCTTTTCTTTCTTACTCGTTATTTATATTTTGGTCTTTATATTATTATTATCTTATCCGTACCACCTTATTTCAAATTTGGTTTTTATTGTTTCTGTTGAGCTTTCTAGTTTGTGACCCACAGGAGGAGTGGATGCATAAAAGAGGGTACCCTCCCCTCACCCCCCACCCCCGAAAAAAGACAGAAATGCACTGGGAAGACTGGAGCTTTCATATTACACATTTTTCGCATTTTATGCATTGTTCCCACTAGGTGAGTATCAACCAACTCGCTCTGAGTTAGTTCACTCAGTAGTGTTGCCTGAGAAGGTCTCTCTGGTCACAGTGAATTTTTTTATAAAAGCAATTTCACTGGAACCTTATTTTTTGTGATGGCCAATTTAAAAGAACAGTGTGCAGCTGTGATATTTTGTTTCCTGCTCAGGAAAAATGCCGCAGAAAATGTGTGATGTTGAACACAGCTTACGAGTACAGTGCCATAGGAAAACGTCAAGTGTATGAGGGGGTTTCTCGTTTCAAAAAAGGTAAAATGTCAGTTGATGACAAACCTCGTTGTGGAACTCCATCAACATCCCAAACGGACAAAAATGTCAACTCCTAGTTGTTTGGAGTTTGTTCCACCAGGTCAGACTGTTAATCAAGCTTTCTATTTAGAGGTTCTGAAAAGACTGTGTACAGTGTTGTGCGACAAAAAGACTCTGATTTGTGGCAGATGGGGGACTGGTTTTGCCACGACAATGTACCTGCTCACGCAGCCACTCAGTGAGCCAGTTTGGGGCAATAAATAGCCTACCTCTCTTGCTCACACATCTGCCTCACCTGACCTCACTCCGTGCAACTTCTTTTTGTTTCCGTGAACATAGAAGGGCATGAAATTACATCAATTTGATGACTATGTAGAAGAGGTGAAGAAAAAAAACAACGGAGGTTCTGTCAGTCATCCAAACAGAAGAGTTGAAAAATGTTTCCAAGAGTGGAAACGCAGATTTGGCAAATGTATTAAGTGTAATGGAGAGTACTTTGAAGGTGATAAGGTTGTTTCGCAAAAAAAATTTAAATACATAGCTTTGGAAAAAAAATTCAGGGTTTTTGTGTGTGTGTGTGTGTATGCGTGTGTACCCCCTGGCAGTGATAATAATGGATACAGGGCTTGATAGGAGATGCATGGGTTAGAGTGGGTGAGGGAGGGAAGGGGGATTTCGGGAGTGGGAAATGAAGACGGGAGCAGGGAGGGAGTACTAGAACTGATTGTGATTGCACAACTCATTTTAAAGGCAACTTAACCATAGGGAGAAGGGGAAAATGTTCTAAAATTGACATGGTAATGATTGTACAATTCCCCTTGATATGATTGGATGACTGAACTATTGAAGCGTATGCTATGTAAATTATGTGCTAATAAAACTGTTAAAAAATTTTTAAGTAGTAGTGCTGGTCTTGCAAAAGTCTATAATTCGACCTCCAGCTTTGCTTCAATCACCATGAGCATATTTTCCAACGACTATTCCATCTTCTTTGTTTCCAACTTTGGCATTCCAATCACCAATAACTATCAATGCATTTTAACTGCATTTCTTATCAGCTTCTAACTGAAAACACTGACAGATTACTTCAACTTCTACATCACTAGTTTTATTGGTTAGTGCATAAATTGGAATAATAGTTGTATTAACTGGGCTTTCTTGAATAGACATAGATATTATCCTATTTCAGAAATGGATTATGAATGCAAAGCCATTCCTCTTGATTGTTTGTTTCATTCTCAGCATAGGAATGAAATTTAATCAGGAATTTTCTGATTCAAAAAGGACAATACAGGTCCATTTCAGCTCACTAACACATAGGATTATCAGTCTTTCTACATTCCATTTAATTTTTGACAACTTTCAATTTTCCTAGATTCATACTCCATGCATTCCAAGTTCCAATTATTCGATTTTTCAAACTGTTTCTTCTCTCTTTGAGTTGTGCCCTATCACAAATGAAGGCCCCAAAGGCTTGTTCTACTCCTTATGGTTGCTACTACTTAGAAAAGGCAGCTCTTCCTCAGTCACATTTTGAGAACCTTCCAATCGGAAGGGCTCATGTTCTGGTCCTATCTCTGACAGTGCTCACCTGTATTCACCGTCTTCATAATTGACAGTGTTTAGATGCTATCATAAGGTTTTCAGTGGCTACTTCCTCTGATGTTGACAGTCTAGTCCTTCCTCATAGTCTTCCCTCGTCTGGAAGTCCTGTTGAAGCCTGTTTATTGTGGGTGACCCTACTGTTATTTGAAATACCAGTGATAGAGCTTCCAACATCACAGTAACACACAAGCCACCACAGTACAACAATCTGACAAACGGTGGCCCTCAGCAGAGGGTGTGAACCAAGTTACACCCTTTGTTCCCTTGGAGGCATTTACTGGAAAGTGTGACTTAACATCGCATCCTTCATTCTCCTTGGCGATATGGTTGGCTAAAAAAACAAACCACACCTCCATCAGAGCCATTCCTCAGTATAAAAGAGCCATCTGGGGCACAGAAAAAGATCACAAGACCATCACAGCACACATCCAAGAGCTCCATCTTGAATGCTCCAGATTATAGTCCAGAGACTCAAGAGGCACAGCCCCATGACTATGGAACCGTGAACTGTGGGACAGAGCAACAGGCACGTTAGCTTCTTGGCCAAGGAACCACGTGGCTGAGCATGAGAAGCAGAGGGGTAGAGAGGTATGGGGTTGGGGCTGGAGGAGTTTGGCTGCTGGCTGAGGATCAGTGCTGCTGTGGACCAATGATTTTATCCTTACTGCTTGCTGGTGTTTACTTGGGATAACCTACTAACTTCCCTAATAACCCTCCTTAATTGTGAGTATTGACTGTGAGTTGTGTGTGGCCACTGAAACCAATAATCAAACCCAGCAGCGTCATGGGAGGAATGGTTGCCGGGATAGACAAGGAAGGATGGAGCATGAAGGCACGGCTGCCTCCTGACTTGTGGTAATAGGGAAGCCAGATCAAATTATGTCTACTTCCATTGCCATTTAGTGTACATCTTCTCAGCTTCCTACATACTGGCTTCACCGACCATCCGACTAAAACCCCTCACTTCCTCAAAACAACTCCATGCTGCAACGGCCATATCTCAGCCCTCACCTTTCTGCCTCTGGAGCACCTGTCACTGCTGACCAGCCCCAGCTTCATATATTCTCGTCCTCTGGCTGCTGGGTGACCATAATGCCCTGGCATCACTTCTCAGTCTATTTGGGGGTGGGAGGGTGGCTTTTCCTTTGTTTGTTAAAAAATGCTGCTGGCACTCATGATCTTCTCTAGCACTTCTTCTCATTCTTCACATCCTCTGTAGGTGACCTAACCCATGCCAGCCTCTCTGTCAATGACAACTAGGGTGGCCTTCACCTCTCCCCTGTGATGACAATAGACTTATCTGTCTACAGGACATCTACTCTTGGAGGTCCGAGAACATCAACATGTATCAGGTAAAAACAATGTCACATCTTTTCCACTGTAGGGATATAAAAGGCCTTGCCTTTTACATATATGCTAGGCAGGCAAAGACTTGAGTCACAGCACTTCTGCATCTCGACTGACAAGGGGATGGGAGGCAGAGGCTTGTAAGGCGCAGCTACGAGGTCATCCCCCATTCTTTGTCTCTCAGGGGCCTGTCATAAGGCAGTTTCTCATCAGCTCCAAGTTCTCCTGAGGTACGGGTTTTTTGTCTTCTGCCTCCCAGACGCAAACTATAGATTAGAGTTCTTTTTGCTTGTTTGTTTGTTTTATAGATTAGAGTTCTTGAATGGACTCCTCAGTCACGGGGCATCCTACAACCCACACTGCACTCATCTGGCCTTTTCTGTTTTTGTGGTGCCCTCTTTCTGTGAGGGACAAGGACCACAGAGAGATGACAACATTGGCTAACCTTTTGTTCTCTATGTAATACATGTCTAAATCTCATAGCTAACTGTGTATTTATTGACCAAATCAGCTGGTCTTTGGCTTTGGCTTAACTTATTAAGAGGGGGCTTCAAAAGATTTATGGAAACATTCCTTTATCTCTTCATTTCATTTTTCCAGGAATTTTTTGAAGCCCCCTTGTATGTATAAGCTTGACATTCACCCACACCCAAACCCTCTCCTCTATGTTTCCCTTACCATTATCACTCGTCTCACTTTAGCCTACCCCACCTAAGTGAACTGCAAATTACTCCTTTGCTCTAATATTTAACTTAAGCATCTTCTGTTTTCTTTACTCATCCATACCCAATCAAAAATCCCACTGATTCCACCTTCTCAGTATTTCCAGATTCCGTCTACATTACTACTAATGATGCTACACCAGGTCACCACTATCTCTTTAGTTATTCCACAGCTTAATTGGTCTGCCTGCCTCCACCAACCCCACACAAATCCAATCTCCACTCAACAACCAAGGCAATGTTCTAAGTATGCATATCTGACCATGTTTTCCTAAACGATCAGATCATACGTCTTTAACTTTTTTTTAGAAAATCTAGTAATGCTAACTCAAGCTAGACATGGTGACATTAGTACATCAGTTAGTGGTAAACGCAGCTCAATGACAACAGTTTGAAAAATAAGCATTAATACTTTCTTCATTACTGTTTCATATCAATGAAGATTGGTCACTTTGTTGATTATGTCTTAACACTTAATTTGAAGTGGACCTCATTTATTCTACGCTTTTTTATCAATTCAATTATTCCGTGGTAAAAAGCTATTCATTACACTGAGTCCAACACATGATCTAGATTTGAACCAAATACACAGAAAGGAATGAATATTAGATTGTAATTTCTTGCCCAAAGGAAATCACCATAACCCAAGTACCTGTTCTTTAGCATGTTTCTGCTGCTCTCTCCGTCTGCGCTCTTCTTCATCCACTTTACTGATAACTATATACCGCTCTTTCTAAAAGATATAAAGCAGAGATAACATTTCATGAACGTAACATGACCCAAAAAGCAATCAGAACTCTTCTACCACTAGATGCTATTTTATCACTATAATCACAGACCAAAATTTGCCTCTACGTTTCCATATTTTCCTGTAGTTTTGTAACTCAACAGATATTAAAGTATTAACAGATTGTGAGGATAAGATGCTTTCTATGGGTGAACTAACACGTCACGTGTTGTATATGAACATGAATTTCTACATAACAGATTTTAAACGAAAATTCTCATGTCATGTTTTATTTATTTATTTTTTAATTCCTAGATTTTTCTGGTAACTTGCCAGAAAACTGGTTCTCAATCGATCACAAGGATCAACCTATAACCCCCTCCCATGGGGATGAATAACAGAAAGTGGGTGAGGGGTGACGGAGGACGATGTAAG